GGGAAAATGTTTTTATTCAGTGTAGAAACAGTCAATTTGTAAAAGTATCTTGCTAAAGCAAAACTGTCAAAATAGATCCAACAGACCGTATAATTTTTCTTAACCAAAATGATGATGGATTTCTTGAAAATAATGAGAATGAGAACGCTAAATAAAAAAACCTGGATATGCAGGGTGTCCTGAAAACTTCATTTGTAACACCTCACTTTTCATAGGATAAATTAGTTATGTGATGATCGGTTTTGAATAATGATCACTGGGAAGATTTCAGAGAAAGAGCGTATATCATACAATGTTTATTGATGATATGTTGACATTGCTGATCATTATTGACATCGCTGATGGCGAATAAGAATCAAAAGGTAACGCTTTGTGCGAATGTTACTCATGGTGAATTTCTGATGGAATTTCTTACTACGATATAATAACCATTTAACAGGATATTGTATGACCACTATCAAATAATTTAACCGAGTCGTTTTTAACTTCTCAATTTACATTTTTTGTTTACAATCACACGAGACATGTGAGCCCAGGTATGTGAGGCTGATCTGAGAAGTCTTAATAAACAATAGCTCTGTCAAAAAAATGATTAAATTAAATTACATAAGATTCGGAATGAAAGTGCCCCGTCCATATTTCATATTTGACTAAAAATAATTAGTGCATTGGGCAAATAGAATCCTTTTTATTGCAGTTAATTCAAAATATTCCTATGCTGGCTGTACTAATTCTTCAAAACTTTCAGGCATTGACATCATCGATTTGACTAATTTGCATACAACCAATCAGCGCGCCGGAAATTATCGATTTTCTTTACTTTGTGGAAAGGTGAATATTAATTTCATATTCTGTCAATGTTTAATACACGTAAATATTAGATTTACAATTGTACTTTTTTGTTACGATGTTATATTCATTTCATATTCTGTCAATGTTTAATACAAATACCTACATATAGATATCTCAAACTGGGAACTGGGGACTGGGGACCAGCTTAGAAGATACATACATACATATGACATAGATATCTCAAAATGGGAACTGGGGACTGGGGACCATCTTATAAGATACATACAAATACATATATATACAAACATAGATATCTCAAACTGGGAACTGGGGACTGGGGACCTTCTTAAAAAGATACATACAAATACATACATATTATATATAGCATATAAATATCTCAAACTGGGAACTGGGGACTGGGGACCTTCTTAAAAGATACATACAAATACATACATATTATATATAGCATATAGATATCTCAAACTGGGAACTGGGGACTGGGGACCAGCTTAGAAGATATATACAAATACATACATATATAACATGTATACAATACACATATATCTCATAAATTAAAGAATATTCATAGATATCTCAGATAATCATGAATTATTGTTATTAAATTAACATATGCTATGCCAACTAATAAATAAATTGTTCTGTATCTAGTTCTATATATGTATCTAGTCTATCTAATTAACATATTCCATGCTGGTATATATATCATACATATATATGAATACATATAATAATGTATGTATCTATCTAATTTGCATATTCTGTACTGGCATATAATATATATATGCATGAATACATAGATATATGTATGTATACATATATGTATCTATCTAATTTGCATATTCTATGCTGGTTTACATGGCCCATAAGCCAAAAGAAATGGATTTGGAAGAATACAGGGTCCCCTATTTTATAAAACAAGTATATGATATGTCAGTAAAAGGTACATCTCTGACTTCTCTGGCTCATTTTTTTCAAAAAGTTCTTTAAACATTCTTAATAACAAGTTGAATACATATGTAATGATGGCACAAGCAATATTCTGAAAATCAACATGAATGAGGGATTTTGATAAATACAAAAGACGGCATTTTGTTATGAAGAAATATACATTTTTGCAGTAACAACACAATTACGTCTTTATCAGTAAGAGGCTAGGGACTAAACATAACACAATTTTTTCAATCTCAGACTAACAGTATCCAATTTAGGAGTATAGTACCTTAAAGTGTATATGTAGTCCAGAGATACATTCTTTCTCAACTGAAGTCAATATCTCTGTTAAACGAAGTTAAGAAAGCATACTTGTCATTTAATGCAGCAAGCAAAAATACAATACACTTGTATACATAATAAGTGGGTCAAAATCAAAAAGTACGCAACTTTTTAATGTGGTGATCAATAAGCCCAAGCTGGGCTGGGTAAAATTGTAATTAATTGGTTTTTTAATATTTTTTTTATTAAAATCAATGTAACATATTTACAGGTTGTAGTGGCTATGACCCCCAGAGGGAGTATTAGGTGCCACATAATGGTATTTACAATGATTTGTGAAATCTTATAAGAAGTGTACATGTAATTGTGTAAAGTATGATAGTGAACATTTAATGGAAATGATTAATGGTCTCTTCTACAATAACAGGTGCAAGCAATAAAAATGTGTAGCGTAATAGAATAAATTTCAATATTACGTTTTTTAATAGGATAACATGATAACATCTGATGAGATTGTACAGTAGTTCAAGGAACTACTCCAAGTAAAGTTTGCTGTAATAATCTTTAAATGACTTTTTGAGAATTGGGATGCTTTTATATTTTTATTATTGTAAGACTGGCCACTATAAATAATATAAATAAATAAACTTAACTATAAATAAACTATATAAACTAAGACGAAACTCCCTTTAGAAGCGAAGTCGAACGAGTATAAAGGGTAGGTTTTCTTAAATGGCTTGGGCCAAATGTCATTCTATGTATTCATGAGATCTAAGATATTAAGATATTTCCTCAGGAAATAATATATAGTCCATTGCTAAATCCACATTTAATTCTCCGAGTAAATAACATTGAAACATATATGTGTCGTAAAGGATCTGATGTTTGGGCAATAGAGGTGAGACATGGGTGGCTAGCTACTTCTTAATCTCATATTTAATATTCCTTCTTTACTCACAATTGATATGTTTTGTAATTCAATTATTTACCTATGAACATGTCCCATATTATACCCATATTCTAACCCTACTATCACACCAAACTAGTTCTCACTGCGTTCTCGAAAACGGGCTTCAACTGTATACGAACGGACTGGACCTACTAAGAACCGTTTGGGATCTATTTACAAACTTCATCGAACGTACTCGAACGGGTAGGTCCTCTAGAACTTAGACAATGCTCAAAATGTTCTCGTGGTCGTCACGTTCTACAATTAGAACGAGTGACAACGTACTAACGACGAGCTGGACGTACAACGAACGGAACCGTCGTACTTCAATCCTACTAGGGACGTTTTAACAACGAGTTGAACTGTCTGCGGACGTGTTGAGAACGAGGTAGAACTAATTGCAAACGGGTTTAAACTGATTAAGAACGTATTTAACACTGCTTATGAACGAGTTAGCAAAAATATAGCTATCACACCAAACAAGTTGCCACTGCGTTCTTTAAAACTGGTTTTAAACTGTGTGCGAACGGAATGAACGTAGCTGCAACTTTCTAAGGTCTATTTACGAACTTTATGAACGTTCTCAGACGGGAATGTGATTTTAGAATTTTGAATCGATTCAAAATTCGATGACGACCATACCGTTCTGTAATCAGGTCATGTTGACCTTCTAGACTAAGGGGCGCGTTCTACGACGTTGCACTCCGACGTGGTGCGACCTGAACGAACTGCGAACGAGATGGACGTATTGAAGACTGTTTAAGAACGGAGAAGCGAATTATTTCAGACATATTTCCCGACCACAGCCAGATTGAGCTCGTTTGACGACATTTTCGTAGGACTGGCAAGAACGGGTTAGAACTAGTTTGGTGTGATAGGGGGGTAAACAATATTTCATTTCATATTGTACCACAACTTTCTCATTAGATAAGCTTCTGTTTTGAAAATGATCTCTGTTAGATTATTTAAAAGCCATTTATTGTTGATTTGGGAATGGAGGTTGTATGAAATTTTATTTACTTTGACATATTTGCCCACATTTCTCATTTACACCTTGGATCCTATCAGCCCAATGATGAGGCTAACTCAACCTGCCTAATCACTAAGGTACAGTATTTATTGATAAATTAAAGAGGAGTTCTCAAACTCGTTTATATTATATTGCTGACTACAAAAACAATGACATTTTGAAAAATACATCAAAAAGCTATGTAACCTTTAACTGAAATTGTATTTTTATTATGTACAAATGAGTTCACTTCAGCTATGGGAGCTAAAAGAGGCCCTTAATGACACCCGTCCTCTAGACCTTAGACATCAGATTATTAGTTTTATGCAAACATTTGTTATATCTCAACACCCATTTCATAATAAGATAGAAATTGAATTTGAAAGTTTTCTATTAGTGCATTTCTAGATAGCTAGCATCTTTCTAGTTGGAAAACAGAGAAAGGTGTAATGGGTATCAAAATGACATTAGAGTTAAAAGTAGGTATTTATTCACAGTTAATCACGCAGTTTGAATCGGTGAATAAATACTTTCTGTTTGGTCTAAGTGATTTGTAATGTTTCAATTAATTGAACAAGGTCTGGTTTTAGTAGATTAGTTTTTGGGGTGGGGATTGAACGGTTTGTTGGCGTCTTCTTAACATAGACCAAACCTTGTTTGAGTAATAGAATAAAATAAGATGATTAAAGAAAAGTATGAATTAAAAAGCCGCGCAATGCTCATTTCCATGGAAAAGCGGAGCTCCCTATAGCATTTTCTGTAAAATACTCGCTGGTGAATTTTAGTTTAAAGGGGTTGGGTTCCCGGATTACGAGCCGATGTAACAGTTGCATCGTTAACACTTTTGGTCATGGTCAAAACATTTGAGTCATTGTACTGTAGTTAAGGGTTTATAGTCTCGTTTCGGAATGAACGGTAACTAGCTCCACTTTGGGCGCTTGGCGCAAAACATCACCTGGGAGAATGTGTGTAAGGATGTAGGAAGGATTGTTAGAACTGAATGATTTTAAATCTCACCTGAGTCCTTGAGTTAGAAGTTGAATTTTTTCTTAATGTGGACGGGGATGATTGATGTTGCTGTGAGTTAGTACCGTTATGTCCCAGTCTTTCAGCCGTAGATGAGGCGATCGACCCACTACACAGTATGTAAGCAATGAATCCGTAAAGAACGCAGGTGAGGCACAAAGGAATGATGTAGAAAAGACATAAATCGACCATGTAAATGTAGACATAGTCACTTCTTTTGCCAGTGTACTCGCATGACTCGATTGTAGTGTTATCGCTCTGGCGTCTTATCGTGACGTTTGTCAGAAATATCCAAGTACTGTTATACAATACGTTGAAGATCCATATGAAAACAATAATTTTAACAGCGCGTTTTACGGTACAAATAGCGTGTGCGCGCATCGGGTGGCAGATGCCGAAATACCTTTCAATTGTAAAGGCCGTTATCGACATTGCCGAGGCATTGACTCCTAAATATTGCAAATAGATCACTAAATTGCACCCTGTTTTTCCCAGAATCCACTGCCCCACCTTGAGGTTAAGTTCCATCATAACGGGTAAAGCACACGCCACTAGCACCAAAATGTCCGATATGGCAAGGCTAACAATGTAACAATTGGTAGGTGTGCGCATTGTTTTAGTTCGGGCTACGACAATGGCAACCATACTATTTCCAACAATTCCTGCGACGAGCACAATCGTCGCTAATGTTATCCCCACGGTCCTGTACAAAACCGTGTAGTACTTGACTGGCTGAATGGAGTCGGTAGAATTAAGTGAGTTACTTTCATTAAACACACCTGGCCATTCTGAGACATTGTGTAATCCTTTGGAAATGTAGATAACATCAGATGTGTTTTCCGTTGAGTCCACATCCATTTTGTGATCTCCCTGTTTAAAGTAAGCACGCGATCCGACGAAGTAATCCAGTTGAATTATTTTATTATTCTATTCGTATCTGTTCTGTTCTGTATTCTATTCTAGTTAAATTCACGACATAGATCTTCTGACAAAAAGAATTTATCATGAAACAAATGAATCGGAAACTAATGTCTAATATAAGCCTTTTACTTTAATAGAATTGTTTCAATGCTAGCTCGATAATTGTTGTCAAATGATGCTAAGTTTCAATGGCATGTGTAAAATATGAATGTTTATATAAAACCAATAGCAAGACAACCTACGTTTGTTTCTGCTTTTCTGATGCCAATACGCAGTATCAGTTAAAGCTCAAGTCAGCCGATTGTGATATGTCTTACCAAAAGGGGCTGTACCAATTACGCGTGGCTGCTAAAAGCGCGGGGTACGGTAAATAAGTGGGATGATGGGAAATTGAAATAAATCAAGCATTTCCATTATTCCATCGGGATTTTGTTTAATTTCTGCGCTTTTTTGTATTTCAAAACAAATATCCGTAAGAATATATTGGGTATTGCTAACGTTAGATCTTTCTTTATAAAAAACTGTTATATACTGTAATAGTATAAAATACTGCCTCGCCCTCTATTGGTCGAACCGTATTAGTTAAATTATAAGTTATTACCCAAATCTAAGTGGAAGTTCGAAAGAATAAAATAAAAATAATTTGGCGACCTTCAGAAATAACTGAAACGTGAAACTCAAAATCTCTTATAAGCAGGTTGTAAGAAATAGAAGCGTTTTGCCATTATGAACTTTATGTTTTCCATGGCGCTGTGCAGACAGCATTCCCATGCAATTAAACAGCATCCCTCCCATTATAGTTTATCTAGGTAACCCTTCACTAGTTCGTTGGATTTGATGTTGGATGTACGTTTGGCCCTAAAAGGGCTTCAGAACAAATAAATCCTGTCATATATATATCATCCTCGGATTCGCTGGTCCATCTGACAGATGGTTGATTAAGGAACGTGAAATATGAGCTTACATGATGGGAATTCCAACGAAATCACCAGCTGACTTCGATGAGGCGCAAGAATTATGGTCAAATTAACACATTTCAATCATGGTATATTTTACAAGCTACACGCCTGAACACATATCGGGTGGCGCCCATTTAATTGCAAGGATAGTATTTAATTGACATCGTTACATTTCCCACACAATTTCTGAAAATGTTTCTGAATGACTCTTCAATTGTTAGTTTCTAAATAGCTGAATAACGCTGACATAATAGATGTCACCCTTGTTTGTCTTTGATTTTCCTGGGCCACACCTCCATTCAGTTCAATGCTAGAAACTTGCAGTAGTCACTTAATTTCATGATTTGTCATAAAGTGTTGGTTGAATCTGTCTGAAACTCGAATGGCATACTATCGGATGATACTGTTAGTGTACATATTGTGATTAAACATGAAAATGTTGGTTGTCATTCGAATTTAAAGCGAAGGTTTTAATGAATCTTAGCATTGCACCAATGGAGATTTGGTCCAAGTTTTTTTAAATGTCATGGAAAATGATTTAAATGACATAACTGTGTAAATCAAACGTATTATTGGAGAAAACGTGTCGATGAATTCAAATATGCTATCAAAAATAAAGAAAAGTAAAGTGCAAATCTCTAAAAGTCTCATGAAAAAACTAGATTTAGCGAGATTTTAAAGCTATTTAGAAACTACTTTATTCAATAGAAAAAGACAATAGAGAACATGACAATGCAATGATGAATTTGATTAAAAACGTATCAAATTGAGAAAGCATAAATCTGATTGATTACCCATCCTTCAAGATTGTCCTTAACCTTCCTAATTCCACGTAAAATCAATGGTGTCTTGTAAATGCGCCATTTTCTTCTACACTCACCATCCCGGGGAGTACTATAAAATACATTTCTTCCACACCGGTTAATCGCAAATTACATTGTTTCAAATAAGGTGATCATTCAGCTAGAAACGTCAAAAGCATACTTTGGAAAATTCCTAGAGTCTGGTATCAGATATGTCAATTTCAACCATAGATTTACCATAGGTTTAAGTGTGTTGTAACATATAGGGAGGCAATCGGGCAGACCTAGTGTGTGATCATATAATTGCTAGAATTACAAGAGATAGGAAAGGAAACAGCTATTTGGCCCTGAAGGAAAGTGTGTCATGGCGTCTCGAAGAGATATAGGTTCGTCTTTAGAGTCTGCTAAAGTGTTTGGCTTGTATTGGGTAAATATCAATGTTGTCTAAATAGATATATTTCTGACTATTTCATTTGTGACTACGTCATTGGTCGTTCAACATGAAGTAAACTAAACACGACAGTTGCCTTCTTTCTCTTTATTGCATTTGCTTTGATTATTTCGCTATAATTTCAGTTTGAAATAATTGATTGCAAATCGTCTGGAAAGTTGTGAGCACTTGATTAAAGCATCGCATAACAAATGAAGTCAACGAAGTAATTTTTGTAATTTTTTGTAAAATAACATCCGTTCGTCGTTTGCTAGATCATTGAATGGAATGATCATAATGAACAATGAAATATAGGAATTTAAATATTCGACTGACGTATGTCCACAAAAGTTTCACTTGCACCAACTTAACCTTTGAAATCGCAGATGGTCAAAATTTGCCATAATCTGATTTACAGGTCCCCTTTCTTGGTTTTAAGCAGAAGCCATGTCTTGCATTCTGTCTTATGGGAAAGTAGGGACAGAAACGAGTTCAGAGTACTTTTCTAAAATACCGCAATTCAGGATTATTATAACTTTTGTTATCCCATGTCTCGCCTATTTGATTAAAATCATGTCTGTTCTCACTTTATTTCAGGATTTCATTTCGTCTTAGAGATTAGCAGAAAACCATTATTTGAAAGACGAGGACTTCTCCCCTTTCGATTCTTAAGAATTTGGTCATTTCTGCATATTTAATGTCTCAATTGTTTCTTATTTCAGAAAATGAAATTTAAATGGAAATATTGACATGGTATTTGAAAAGATTGTTTTCAACTGTACTCTCTGTCCCTTGTACTCCCTATTTTATTGAAACATGAAATACCTTACATGATGAAAGGAAGCTAGGCTGTTTGATAGTGGAGTGGAGACTAAGCCTAGTGCAATCGTGTATGCATGAGTCTGCACCTATCCTAGGCATGCACATAATATACGTTAAGTTTAATCTCTGTTTGTTTGTTTGTTGTCTGTGCATATTTTGTTTGATTATTGTTTGTATGTTTAGATTGGACCATCAATGCCACTAACGACATCAACAATATCTCCAATTAAGGCATTCCTGTCGTTCAAAGTTTCTCCCCTATCTCCTTGCCTAAGTATGGGCTTCGCCCCCCCCCCTCCTTTCATTCTGTTTCTTCCATCTCTTTCGAGTATACTATCCTTACTCGGTTTGTTTATTTCGTGGTATGAGGAAAGTAGTTCTATTCAAAACCTGTTTGGGGACTTCAATGGTATACTACAGCATCTTTGGATAGAATACTCTTTTTGCAGACACATAATTAAATGCCCAGAATAATTGGGAAACATGTCATCATAACAGTGATCGGTAAAATATTTGGGATTATTTTCTGCGGATGGATGAGCTTGGTAGTAGTGAATTCGGATCAACGTACATAAATATGATGACGTTTTGGTACTCCAACTCCAACTTTGTAAGAGAGCAGAACTTTTGATTTTCGTGGGACATTTTTGTTGAATTTTTTGACATGAAGATGAGATGTTTCGCTGTATTCCTCTGAAATACTTTGAAAATCGATGAGCTGCGAATTGAGAAATTCTAAATTTGAACGACATGCATCTCAATGGTACAAAAAGTATGGAGAGTTCTACCTTCATGGTGGAAGTTGACTTTCAAATGAATTGGGGCTTCTCATGGCGGAACATGCAGTCTTTTAATGAATGGGTAGTTCTAATTGAGAATGTCTCTCTAAGTTAAAAAAAGAATGGCGTGACAAAGTGAAGCTCAGTAATAATAAAAATTCCGGAAAAACGAGTCAATTTATTACCATGCCGTGATCAGACGATACAAGCGTATATATAGACGTATCTGTCTTAAGCAAACAACTTGATCGTATCTCACCAGAGAGGGTGCTTGTAATCGGCATGTTCTAATCAGTGGACTGGCTCCAATTTAGTGGACTCTGTGGCCTTATCCATTGTTTAGTCATTGTGTGGTTAAAATGACTAAAAGGTGGACTGATACAAAGGCCACTGTTTAGGTATTCTGATAGAAGAATGACTAAAAAGTGGCTTCAAACTGGAGTATAAAGGGTTAAGTAAAAGGATGGCACTGAGTGATCCAACCCACCCAAGATGCATGCCTAGTAGAATCATAAAACCTTATCAAGTTATACAATCTGTACCTGACACCATCAACTATTATATCTTAGTGTCCCTTAAAAATTTTATAACATTTTGTCAAAGCAACAATAATCACAAGCAATGAAGCTCTGATTTCATAACTTTACATGACCCAAAAAACAGCCTCGAGACAGCTTAATGTTGAGAGGTGGGGGTAAACAATGCTAAAAATTAATTACAAACTTTTCCACAACTTGCAGTTGGTAAGGGTATACGTGTCTCCCAATTGATATCGAATTTTCCCTATTAAATGATTATGTTGGAGGAGTTTGCAATCATTAGTTTAAAGCTGTGATTTGCAAAAAATAAAAGAACTAGATATAGTTGAATTCTATTGTTGATGAAAATTTAGTTACGTCATTTTTTGTAAATATATCAGAATCAATAGCATTCCATTGTAAGTTTAAGGCAGAGTAAATCTGGAAGAGCTGAATTACAAGGCTCTCATACTTTATCTCTAAAATCTAAAATTGACATGCTTTATATATTTAGTATGACCACACTTGTATAATACTTGCATAATTTGTCAAACTTAAATTATCCTTCAGATTCTTTTCAATGGGGACAATCTAGCAGACAATCTACCTTACACTCATCTGCACGCCACTTAAATATCTTTGTTGTTTCCCTTACAAATGTTGACTGTATATTTTGAAAAGTGAAGCTCCTAATATTATAATGTTGAACCCTGGGGCTGGATAACCAACCTTAACTCAATTTAATTTGGAAGGGGGGGGGGGGTAAAATGGTGAAACAATTGATTAAATTTACTTATTTTTTTTCACAACTATCAATTTGTAAGGACAGATGTGAATTCCAATTGATATAAAATGTTCCCTTACTGAAAATATCATAGAAGTTTGCAGTTAGTAGTTTAAATCCTTCAGTATATATTTTATGAAAATGAAAAAAAACATATGG